CTTGGTCGATTCGGGTTTCAGCTTCCGACAGGCGGTTGTCATGTTGAGCAACCCTATCCTTCACCTCCCTTATCTCTTTCCCGAAGGTAGCGTGAAGGTCCTTCATGAGAAGAAGCTGCTCTTCCAACCGACGGCGCTGTTCCTCCTGTTGGCGGGCCTGTTCCTCCTGTCCGCGCTGCAGCTGCTCTTCCAACCGACAGCTCTGTTTCTCCTGTCGGCGGGCCTGTTCCTCGTGTCGGCGAGCCTGATCCTGCAACATCATCATCAGAGCACCTAAGTCAGGTGCTGCAGATGCAGGAGCTGCTGAGGGCCAGATGCTGGCCGGCCTCCGTGGCCAGCATCTGGCCCTCCGACGTTTGCGGCGTTGCATTACCAAATCGTCTCTGGTCCGCCTCCAGCTGGCGTTGACTTCGGGTACGCATACCCTCCATGTCGTCCTTTGGTAAAATCGGCATGATTTGATCCCATTTCTGACACCAATTGTTACGAGCTTGGGGTTCGAGATAATTAAAAACTGCCGATTGAATTACCAAAATTGACACTTTAATTATACAACACTAATTACAATCTAAAATCACACTAATAATAAAACACAATCACTTTAGTTCGCAGTTATTTCGCTTCGAAGTATTCTCTTGTATCGCCAATTCAATACTGCCTCGATCGTGGTCTATACCGGCCTTATATAGGGCTAGGGATAGTTTCCGGAATCTTCTACTGTAGCGACATCTAGAATGTTCGAGTACATATCGGTCCCGAAATTTCTGGAAGGATCTTGACTCTCCTAGTTCTGCTACTCGACACTAGAGGACGCTAGTGTTTTGTACATAGCAACACTAGGTTGCCATGTACAAAACATTAATAGTGGCGCGCAACAATAATATTAAACACAAGTGTAACCGTTGTAAGTGTTTTTAAAAAGAAAAGAATACATAGACGAGTGTAACGTGAGCTTCCGATATAAAATGGTATCAGCTGATGATGTGACAAAAGTTATAGACAAACTAAGCAGCAACAAGTCATCGGGGTCAGATCAAATTAGAGTTCAGGATTTAAAATTTATTAAAAAAGTCATTAGTCCTATCATAGCGAATTTTATTAATATGTGTATTAAAAAAAGTGTTTACCCAGAAGAACTAAAAAAAACTATAATCAGACCTATCTATAAGCAGGGATCGCATCAAGAATACACAAACTATAGACCCATCGCCATACTTAATGCAATCAATAAAATTACCGAAAAAATTGTTGTCAAACAAATTTCAGAATTTTTAGAAAATAATTATGTTATTACAGATTTACAATACGGATTTAGGCCAAAAAGAAGCACAGACATGGCTTTAGCTAAATTTACAGACGACGTGAATAACGCTCTTAATGACCAAAACCTAGTAGGTGTTATTTTTATCGATTTTAAAAAAGCTTTTGACACACTGGACCACGATAGCTTATTGCAGTCTATGGAAGAGTGTGGTATTCGAGGACCCACAAACTTATGGTTCCGCAACTATTTAAAGGACAGAACTTTAGAAGTCCGCATTAGCGAAACTAGTAGTGACCTTGGTAAAATCAAATATGGAGTCCAACCGGCTCAGTATTCGGTCCACTAAGGTACATCATTCATGTAAATGGAATGAGCAAAGTAGTACGATCATGTGAAATGTATATGTATGCCGATGACACTTGCCTAATGTACTCGTACAAAGATCCAAAGACGATACAAATAGTTATGCAAAAAGACTTAGACAACATTGTGAAATGGGCGCATGATAATAGTATTATAATTAATATAAGCAAAACTAAATTTATGTTAATATCTTCGCCATACAATCGACAAAAACATGCCGACATTGTAATTAAAGGACATACCTACGATTGTTTCCACAGAAATAGCAATGTAAATAACTGTAAATGTCTTAAGTTAGAACAAGTCACATGCTACAAATACCTAGGACTAACTATAGATACCAGTTTTGTATGGAGCATACATGTTCAGCAAATCTGTAACAAATTACGTAGTGTGTTGGGTAAATTGTACCACCTGAAATTTAGGCTAAGCAGAAGTATGTTACATATGCATATTACACATAGTACATTACAGTACTCGTATGCGCTTGCGGATACAATTATAGATTATGGGTAGGGCAGCTATGGACTTACGTTCCCAGTGTATTTAAATAAAATCAAAGAACTACAAACAAGGTTGTTAAAGATACTAGTAGATAATAAAGTGAAAATTGCTTGTAATAAAGAATATGATTAACTTTTCAAATTTTGTAAAATTGTACCTGTAGACAAAAAAGTGAAAATAAAGTTAATAATGGAACTGTTTAGGCCAATATTAAATATTCTGAGAATTGTGTTATAATCGCTCGTTAATAGCTTCGCACCGTAGCGAGGTCACATCCCTCCCGCGCCGACATTCCACTCGAACCGGCTGACCGGACACGCCTTGAGTTAGTGTAAAACTCTTTCGGTCGGAACGGACGTTTCTGGTTTTATTACTTAATTTTTTGTCACGAACGGAGTTAAACTAGTACCGCTGTCGTTTGGCGAGAACACGTGTTGTTCTTTACGGATTTATAACTTCGGTTAAAGCAATTGTGCAATTTATATAGAGATTTCGTTTGAAGTTCCTTTTTTTGACTGTTCCATTACGTGAATAGACTGAACTAGTGCCTCAAGAAGGGAATTGTTCCGGGGCTACAAGAGAATACCTTCTCCAGGACAGCATCGTGTCATCTAGCCCAGGCCACTTACACACAGTCTCACACAAATACCACCTACACTCACTACACTTTCATCAGCCGGGCAGATCCTGGTGAACAGTCTCCGCTCCCGAAGCAGGTAAGTGCCTTCCCGTTAAATGGCCTTCCCCCTTGATTGTGATAGGATATTTCCCAGTGGCCTTTAGAGGCCCGATCTGCGTCTGCCCGTAGAATTTCCTGCTTGGGACCCGGGATAGCCTACAGTTCACCTGATTGTAAGGTGATTATATTCTTTTTTATATAATAAGCGTGAGAAACGAGCACACAGCCCACCTGATTGTAAGGTGATTATATTACTTTTTATAGAATAAGCGTGACAAACGAGCACAAAGTTCACCTGATTGTAAGGTGATTATATTCTTTTTTATAGAATAAGCGTGACAAACGAGCACACAGTCCACCTGATTGTAAGGTGATTATATTATTTTTTATAGAATAAGCGTGACAAACGAGCGCACAGTCCACCTGATTGTAAGGTGATTATATTATTTTTTATAGAATAAGCGTGACAAACGAGCGCACAGTCCACCTGATTGTAAGGTGATTATATTCTTTTCTATAGAATAAGAGTGACAAACAAGCACACAGTCCACCTGATTGTAAGGTGATTATATTATTTTTATAGTATCAGCGTGACAAACGAGCACACAGTCCACCTGATTGTAAGGTGATTATATTCTTTTTTATGGAATAAGTGTGACAAACGAGCACACAGTCCACCTGATTGTAAGGTGATTATATTCTTTTTTATAGAATAAGCGTGACAAACGAGCACACAGTTCACCTGATTGTAATGTGATTATAAAAGCTTTTATCGCAAATATCCGCGTTATAAAATAAAATGATGTGTCTTACCTAGTATGAAGAAGCACCTCCCGCCCTCCCTCAAATGCGTGCACTATTCCCGTCACCACTAATCCCAGCACCGCTACTTCCAACACCATTACACTAGGCAAGACACACCACTGACGATAATACGACACGTGTTTCGCCTCTACACGAGGCATCCTCAGGTGAATAGACTCTACGGTGGCTAACCGCTAAGTATAAGTAATTATATTCTTTTTTATAGAATAAGCGTGACAAACGAGCACACAGTCCACTTGATTGTAAGGTGATTATATTCTTTTTTATAGAATAGGCGTAACAAACGAGCACACAGTTCACCTGATTGTAAGGTGATTATATTCTTTTTTATAGAATAAGTGTGACAAACGAGCACACAATCCACCTGATTGTAAGGTGATTATATTCTTTTCTATAGAATAAGCGTGACAAACAAGCACACAGTCCACCTGATTATAAGGTGATTATGAATGAATGAATGAATGAATATACTTTTATTGTACACCACGAACAAATTTACAAATGACATAACAGATTATGAAAAATCAGATTATAATATGTACAATTTGGCGGCCTTATCGCTACATAGCGATCTCTTCCAGGCAACCAAAGGTGTAAAGTAATACAAACAATGAATAGGTAGGTGGAAGGTGGTGCAATATAAATATACAAATAATAAATGCAAAAAAAAAAGATATAAATAACTAAGTAATAAATGAAATAATATAAATTACTAACACATAATAAAAGATAAAGGAAAACATATAATATATACATATACATACACATATACATACATATATATACGTATACATACATATACATATATATATATATATATATATATATATATATATACTGATATATACGTGTGTAGTTATGTTGTGCACCAGCGAACATGCTCCAATTAAGGAGGAACCGGTATACCGAGCGAAATTTCAAGGTCAAGGAGACAGCGGCGCGGTTATACGGCGTCCTAACGCTGGCAGGACATCAGCAGGTCGCGACCAACCGAGAGATTTTTCTCGTTGTTCGGTTTGTGGCTTGAAGAACCACCAAAGTGATAAGTGCCGTTATAAAAGTTACAAATGTCAAAAGTGCGGTGAAAAAGGTCACTTAAAGAAAGTGTGCGATAGTGTCAATAGATCGCGGATGTACCATATCGAGTCGGTAAGCGAACCAGAGCAGGTCAAGGATTCGTCTTGTGAGGAGTGCTACAATTTTAATTTGAGGTATGTGACTGATAAGCCCATTTCAATTGATGTAATAATAGGTAATCAGTGTATGACAATGGAGCTGGATTCAGGATCAAGTAAAAGTGTGATTTCTTATAATACATATAAGGAAAAATTCTTAAAATATTCATTACGTAGTAGTTCTGTAAAAATGTGCTTATACAACGGACACAAGATTGATCCATTAGGTTATATTACTGTAGAAACCAGTTACAATAACAGTACCAAATTGATTAAATATTTTGTTGTCAAAAATGGGGGACCGCCTATACTAGGTAGGGATTTCATGACCGCCTTTAATTTTGTGATTACTACTAAATTAAATTACATAAGAAATGATTCCGAATTGCATAAGTTATTAAATAAATATTCGGCGTTGTGGCGTGACGAGTTGGGCGCATTTAATAACTTTAAAGTCAGTTTGCAATTGAAGGCGAATGCTGTGCCTAAGTTTTTTAAGCCGCGTACTGTACCCTTTGCCCTCAGAGATAAAGTCGAACAAGAGCTAAACCGATTAGTGCACTTGGGTATCCTTGTTCCTATTAATTATTCTCAATACGCCACCCCCATTGTGCCAGTTTTAAAAGATAATGGCCAAGTTAAAATCGCAGGTGATTTTTCTATTACATTAAATAAGGATCTCATAATAGAAAAATATCCCCTGCCTCGAATTGAAGAGGTTTTTGCCAAAATTGGAGGGGGTGAGCACTATAGTAAAATTGATTTGAAAAACGCTTACAACCAGTTCGTCCTAGATGACGCGTCTCAGGAGCTCACGGCAATTAATACGCATAAAGGACTTTTTAAATACACTAGGTTAGTGTACGGCCTTTCTAGTGGTCCAGCCATTTTTCAAAGGAGCATGGAGACACTCTTATCAGGAATAGACGGGGTAAGCATATGGCTTGATGACATTTGTGTCACGGGCCTCGATAGAAATTCCCACATGCAGCGGCTAAGTAAAGTCCTAGATAGACTATGTAAGGCAGGCCTACGTTTACAAAAAGACAAATGTCAATTTTTCAGAGAAAGCGTCAGGTATTTGGGTTACGTGATTAGTAAAACGGGATTAAGGACTTGTCCGGATAAAGTACGAGCCATTCTTAGTGCACCGGAACCAAATAACGTCACCGAAGTTAAAAGATTTCTAGGAGTAGTCAACTACTATAGAAATTTTATTCCAAACGCCTCTTCTGTACTGAGTCCTCTACATGAGCTATTACGTAAAGATGCAAAATGGGAATGGGGAAAACGGCAGCGACAAAGCGTCGCAGCGATACGGCGCGAACTGGCGTCAGAACGCGTGTTGGCTCATTTCGAGCCAGCGGCGCAGCTGGTGCTGGCGGTGGACGCCGGCCCGACCGGTCTCGGCGCCGTACTCTCACAAAGGGCGGAGGACGGCATCGAACGCCCGCTAGCGTATGCATCTCGCTCACTTACGAGCAGTAAAAGAAACTATAGCCAGATACAGAAGGAAGCGACGGCCATTATTTTCGGGGTCCGACGCTTTCATCAATATTTGTACGGTCGCGAAGATCCTTTTATCCTGAAAACCGACCACAGACCATTGGTATCAATTTTTAATCCTAAAACAGGTATTCCTGTTACTACTGCGCTAAGACTGCAGCGATACTCAGTTATATTGTCCGCTTATAACTATGTCGTACAATATGTATCTAGCGGAAATAATATTGTGGCCGATTATTTCTCTCGCGCTCCTGTAAAATGCGTCAACGAGTCGTCGAACGATATAGATACAAACGATATAGACACTCATTATGCAGTTAGGTTTCTCGATGCGTCATCGCCGGCCACTTCGGCCCGCGACGTTGCGCAGACGACGGAGCGAGATAGGACGATTAAAACCGTGCTTAGGTACATGCAACACGGGTGGCCGCGTAAATTAAAATGTAAATCTATTTTACCTTATTTTCATTGCAAGTCCGATTTACAATATGAGAATGGTTGTCTTTTTAGGGGACATAGGATTGTTATACCACTCGGGTTGAGAGATAGAATGTTACGCGAGCTTCGTGACTCTCATTTAGGAATAACCAAAACTAAATGTAACGCTAGAAGTAGAATGTGGTGGCCCGGTATTGACCGGGACATCGAACGCTGGATCGGATCATGTGCGACGTGCGCAAGCGTGCGGGCCGCCCCGCCGCGCGACCCCCCCGCGCCCTGGCCTCCCTCCACCGCGCCATGGCAACGAGTGCACATTGATTACATGACTGTAGGGCAGAGGGTATATCTGGTAATCGTCGACTCCTACAGTAAATGGATAGAATGTCTATTCATGCATAACGGAACCTCATCTAATGCTTTAATAACAAAATTAAAAGGCGTTTTCTCTAATTTTGGAATACCAAATGTTTTAGTGTCCGACAACGATGTAAAAATTAATTCACTCGAGTTTCAGACATTTTCTTCATCGAATGGCATAAAATACATGACGTCACCCATTTACCATCCGCCAAGTAACGGTCAAGCTGAGAATTCAGTAAGAACATGTAAAAAAATGTTAAAATGTATATTAATTGACAATTTACCGTTGCACAAAGTTCATGACATGTTATTAGGGTACCTATTTAACTATAGAAATACCGTGCATTGTACCACGGGTGAAACGCCGGCAAAGTTAATGTTCGGCAGAAATTTGCGGTCGCGTCTTGATTTGATTTTACCCTTAAAAAATCATAATTCTAATTCACTTACGGCAGCAGGGAAAAGATCTTTTGAAATCGGTGATATCGTTTGGACCCGATAGTACAGTGCACGAAAAGAATCTTGGCAGTTAGGTAGAATAAAGGAAAAAATAGCAAATAAAATGTATAGAATTCATATTAGGAACATGGAGGTTTGGTGTATTAGACATGTGGATCAAATTATTAGATATACGGGTTCAGACAGTAGTCGCGACGATATTGTCGCTGCTGAGGAGACTCGTTGCCCCTCCACGTCGCCGGCTACGGTAAATGCACACCCTCCCGCGCAACAGCCTATGTTTCCGGGTATAAGTAATACGGAGCAAAGTATGGAACAGGCTACGAATATGCAGACGGGTGAGCTGCAATCGCCCTCGAATACTGGAGCGCCGAATCTTGGCTCATCTGACCACGGTGAGGCAGAAGAAGTAAGTGAATGTGAGACTAGGGAGTATGAGAGGGACGACATTGCCCCCGTAGAAAGGCCTATGGCAGAAACGGAGGCTGTGCCGTCCACAGTTGGCGATTCCCATGTACCGCCAACATTGCCACTTTTAGACACAGGCCCGAAACGTACAAGACCAAGGGTGGATTATAAAAAGTATTTTTAAGTAGCGATTGTTAATTATAGTTACGCAGAGATCAAGTTTGCTAATTATTGTTAATAGTTATTATTAGTTGTTAAGTTTATGTAAAAAAAAAAATTTACTGTATTTAATTAAGAAACCTTGTTACCAGGTTCCAAAATTAAGTGGGGAGGAATGATATATACGTGTGTAGTACGGTCATCCAACCAGTAATAAACGAGTGTTACAAGACAGCGGTTGTTTCATTGCAGTCACAAACGTATCATATACACATAAACATATATACATAAATATACACACAACACATATATATCAATATACATATATATATATATATATATATATATATACAAAATTCCTCAAACAACAATATAAGGCCGATAGATACAATAAATACATAATCACACAATCTATCCTAACTGTGTCCGAACGACTGAGACAGTAATGCTCTTTAAGTAACCGCTTAAAGATAATAATAGTTTGTGCCTCACGTATATGTAGAGGTAGGGCATTCCAGAGCTTAATAGACTGGACAGTAAAAGATTTATTGAAAAATGATGTATTGTGAGTTGGCACACTTAAAATGAATTTTCTAGAAGAGCGTAAAGGTTCCCCCGGAATCCCCACAAAATTAAACTTCTCCTTTAGATAGGGAGGAGTAGAAGGGTGAAATAATACACAGTACAGAATAGAAAGTATATGCATGTTCCGGCGAAGTCGGATAGGTAACCACTTGAGACGTGAGCGAAATTGGGAAATATGGTCAAATTTGCGCAATCCAAATATGAACCGAATACTAGTATTTTGAAGTCTCTCAAGCTTTATATAGGTGATTATATTATTTTTATAGTATCAGCGTGACAAACGAGCACACAGTCCACCTGAATGTAAGGTTATTATATTCTTTTTTATAGAATAAGTGTGACAAACGAGCACACAGTCCACCTGATTGTAAGGTGATTATATTATTTTTATAGTATCAGCGTGACAAACGAGCACACAGTCCACCTGATTGTAAGGTGATTATATTCTTTTTTATGGAATAAGTGTGACAAACGAGCACACAGTCCACCTGATTGTAAGGTGATTATATTCTTTTTTATAGAATAAGCGTGACAAACGAGCACACAGTCCACCTGATTGTAATGTGATTATATTCTTTTTTATAGAATAAGCGTGACAAACGAGCACACAGTCCACTTGATTGTAAGGTGATTATATTCTTTTTTATAGAATAGGCGTAACAAACGAGCACACAGTTCACCTGATTGTAAGGTGATTATATTCTTTTTTATAGAATATGTGTGACAAACGAGCACACAGTCCACCTGATTGTAAGGTGATTATATTTTTTTATAGAATAAGTGTGACAAACGAGCACACAATCCACCTGATTGTAAGGTGATTATATTCTTTTCTATAGAATAAGCGTGACAAACAAGCACACAGTCCACCTGATTATAAGGTGATTATATTATTTTTATAGTATCAGCGTGACAAACGAGCACACAGTCCACCTGAATGTAAGGTTATTATATTCTTTTTTATAGAATAAGTGTGACAAACGAACACACAGTCCACCTGATTGTAAGGTGATTATATTCTTTTTTATAGAATAAGTGTGACAAACGAGCACACAGTCCACCTGATTGTAAGCGGCTGCTGTAGTCCATAGACATTTACATTTGTCATCAATTAAGAATCAAAATGTAGATTGTTGGTGTCACCCCTGAGAACCGAGATGGAATACCTCGTTTCCAGTAAAAAGCGCCTTCGGTTCTCTACACTCACTGTACGAAACACAGCAGCATTACGCTGCTATTTTACGCTGGTATTTTGTGAGAGCATGGTCCTACCTCGGTCGAGCCGACCCACTCGTGCTACAACCATAATATAGCTGCAGCTTGACTCTGCCACGTATGTAGTTACGTATCCTAGACGTCCACCATTACAACATATTTTATAGACCACAAATCCTCGTATTGTATCTTTACGCGCGATAGAGCCATGATGCAGGCTGTAACGGTAACGGTAACTTTAAGATAATTCTGCGTAGATCGGATCAAAATTAATCATTAAAAGCTAAAGGTACTCAGGGTTAATTTTGACATTGGGACATCATTCACCTCAGTCCCTCCGTGAACATGGGTGCTGCAAAGCATCCGAAACGTTGAGAATTAAGAATTAGTGAAATTTAGTAAAATTAAACACGATAAAATTCGTAATAATAGTTTTATTTAATGAACAAATGTCAGATGTAACATACCGTTGGCGGTATGATGAGAACTTGAGCAAGGTTCGAGACATTCGGTACACATATCGCTTATTACAAAACTTGTCTACATAGCAGATACCTAGGTCTAGCTGTAGAATGTTAATTAGTATAGTGGGGGTATATAATAAAAAAGAAATCTACTCCAACAATGAACTGCTTACAGGCTGATGCTGATACGTATCGAAGTCATTGTGAAACGATAAAATTCAAATACACATAAGTGCGTATTGTAGTGGCGCCGTAAGCGAACCACACCTTAAAATGCTATGGATATCGTAAAATGCGTCAGTTGTGAAATAAAAGTGACTTTTTTTAATTAAAAAAATACCACGATTTTTTATCATATTCTTGCATTGTAATCCGAATTTGAGCTATATATATTTCAAGTTTCCAGCGCATCGGAAAGTAAGTTTAAAATCAATTACTTAATTCCACCCAGAACGACAGACAGACAGACAAACAATAAAGTGACTTAATAAAAACCTGGTAAAAAAGGGGAAAGGCGGTATAGCATCTTTCCGATAAATGCTCAGGATAAAAAGACTGCAGTTGCAGTATGAGGAAATCTGTAAAGGAAGCATAGGAGGTACATGTTCAGCAGTGGACTTTGTGACTTTTATGACTATATTGAAAAAAATTGATCAAATTCCAATATATTAAATCAACATAAAAGAGTTGATCATGTTGAGAATGATTTGTGTTGCTCGATTACTTGAGACAGCGCGCTGCATTCCTTGCTAAAAGTCATTATAGTATTAAAGTTATATTCTGCTTAACCTTTAAACATCACCCATCACATTACATAAAGAGCCTTTTGAAGTCCACTGCTAGACATAAGCCTTTTCCTTTAGCACCGGGGACACCTTTAGGACATTATGTAGAATTGTCATTTAAAGAACTTATTCAGTCCACGTTATACGGCTACGTCTTAACTACATGAAACTCTGTAGAATAAGAATGATAGGCGCAACTATTTTCAGCATTGGAATGCAGAAAAAGAAGGCAGATATGAACTTGATATACAAAGTTAAGAACAAAGCAAATTTAATAATTAATGCACATATATTATTAATTTCTCTATTCTGTTCTTAAAAGTCAACCGCACCTATATGCGATGTTCCCTGCCTGATGGTTGTAGAGACTCATGGTAGGAAATCTTTATAGATGGATTGACTGTGATTTTTTTTAAATAGAAGTACAAACTACAAATTCAGTCCCCCATACACAGTCCAGAAGTTGTAAGTTATAAGTCCACAGATGGTTGATGCCGTACCACTGTTATCAGTCCTAGAATAATAATCAAAATGCAGTGACGTTGAACACATCTGAGAACTAAGGTGAAATGTTTCGTTACTAATAAAAGCGTCTCCAGTCCTTATTACTCATCATACACATTCAAACGAAACACGGCAGCATAATGTTGCTTTTCCACTGATATTCACGTACGCAAATACTTATTATTAGAAACTATTACACTTCTGATGTTAAAAATTATTCTCAAAAGTATTTACATAAAATAATGTTACTCGTATTAGAATTTACTCTGAAGGTTGATTGTTAAAAATAATAAAAGTGTGAGAGCGGATGTTCAACTTGCTCTCTTGCTTACGCAATTGATCATATCAGGAATAAGACAGCTTACAGCTCTACACATTCAGTATAGAGCAAATACAGTTCGACCAACCGTAATATATACCAGACACAATCACACATTAGTGTAACGTGAAGGACATAATTACATGATAACACCAAAGTATGTAAAGCAACAGCTACACTACTTCTCTCGATGTAACACCGGGCAGCCTCTCAGCAACACGATCTTCCTTGCTTACACTAGAAGAACTACTACACCGTATCTCCGTGTGGAGGTAATGTTTTAGCCCAACGGGCATAATAACGATATGTGACTAGTAGAGTTACAGACTGACTGATCCCTCTTAGTCGACTGCGTGATACTTTATACTGCTAAAACAAGTGGGAGATTATAGTTCTACCTTCAACATTTCTTATTTTATTCCATTATTTCACCCTCATTCCTAACACGGCCTTTCCTGACAATTCACACGTCCCCGTGTGAAGCCTAGAGTAACGTTAACGGCTTCAATGTAACTTTACTGTCTCGGCCTTTTCTGACCATGAAATACATTCAAAGTTTTTGCAGAATTGAAAACATCGTTCAAATCAGATTTTAGTATACAAC